CTATACAAGCTGGTGCTGGAGCGCGCTGAACTTCAACAGCTATTCTACAATCGCTTTCGCCAAACTGACAGTGTCAGCGGGCGCTCCAAGCCAAATAATCGCAAAAGCGTTAAAGCGGATACCAGCACAGGCACTGGTCGACCGGCAAGCTCCCATGGTGGCTCAGACGATACTGAGAAGCCGTCGACAAAGCACAGTACTGCCAAACGGCCGAGTACGACAGCAGGAGCAACCAGCACCCATCCACCCCCTAGAACCGGTTGTCTTCATTGTAAGGGTGACCACTGGCTTCGGGATTGCCCGACAGCCACACCAGCAGATAAGGAAGCAGCACATGCAAAACTGGGCAAACCGTCGAAAGTCAAGCGTGCCATGGTGGGCAAGCCGACGTCAAAAGTGGAAGACGGTGAGTCAATAGCTAAAGCAATCTCCAAGCTGACAGATGACGATGAGTACACAGTACTGATCAATGGAGTAGTGGAAGTTTCAATGTGTCCTGATACGGGCGCAGATAAATCCATCCTGCCGGGGAAAGCAATTAAACAAGTTCGAGCTGCTGGTCGAATATTGCCTACAACACCTCTGACCGAACCTGTCGCGGTTATTGGATTAGGAGGAAAGACAACGTGGAGCCGCGAGACCGCAGTTATCGACTTACAGATACGAACATCAGCTGGACCTGTCAACCTCTACAAGCTCGAATGTTTGGTCGTGGAGGAAGAGGACCAGTTCTTACTGGGTAAAGCAGTGATGAAAACATTGGGTATCGACGTCAAGCGCGCCTTTGAACAGCTAGCTAATACCAGCATAGATTTGAACCATGACGACATACCTGAGCAACCTGACGTAGGTCCAGTTATCGAAGAGGAAATCCAGGTAGAGATGGAACGAATGTGCGAGGAAGTCCGCGCGGTGCTGAAAGATCATCAGTACAACGACTTCCGAGAGGATGTGATCAAGCTGAGCAAGAAGTTTGTGCACCTATATCGGACTCGAATTGGGCCAGATGAACCTGCGCGAGTAGAACCACTCGTAGTCACGATGGTGAAGGGAGCAGAGCCATATCGTTGCAAACCCAGACGATTTCCTCCCGCACAGATTAAGTTCCTTGATGACTACGTCGCACAGCTACTCAAATTTGGGTTTGTCAAGAAAAATAATCTGAGCAAGTGGGCATCTAATGCGGTGCCAGTGCGTAAAGCAGACAGCAAGACTGATTTTCGAGTGACCAATAATTACATCGAGGTGAATAAGAGGACGGTTCCAATCGCGGGGACCATGCCGCATTTCTCAGTGGTGCTGCGTTTCGTAGCAGGTGTGAAATTTATCGCCAAGTTCGACCTCTTTAAGGGTTTCTGGCAGATTATACTAGCGGAGGAATGTCAAGAAATGTTTAGCTTCATGACACATGATGGTGTCTACACGCCTCTGCGTGTACCTCAAGGCGCAACAGACTCACCTCTTCACTTTCAAAGCCAAATGCAGACAGCCTACAAGCCGCTGCTGTACAGGGGAGCGTTAATCTGGATCGATGACATCATCGTGTACGGTCGTACGGAGGAGGAGTTCCTCACCAACCTGACGCTCTTCTACGAGCTCACCGAAAAGTACAGGCTGAAGCTCAACGCCAAAAAGAGTGTGCTGATTTCGTTCGAAATTGCCTGGTGCGGTCGCATCATTGACGGCGACGGTATCCGTCAAGACCCGGAACGCCTATCGGCACTTACAGCACTACCCTTGCCAACAACTGCAGCCGATTTACAGCGCTTTCTGTGCGCGTGCAACTGGATTCGAGATTCTATCATTGATTTTGCCCGAGTTTTCGAGCCGCTGCAGACCAAACTTAATGAAGCCTTAACCAACCGCAGCAGGACTAAGCGCTCCGCCCGCGCCGTCACGCTTGGTTGGACGGAGGAGGAGCGACGTTCATACTCTGAAGCACTCCAAAGCATTGCACAATCTGCAAAGTTATACTTTCCGGAAGATAAAGCAACAATTTGTCTGTTGACTGACGCATCAGACTACGGATACTCCATCATTCTAACGCAAGTACGAGAGTGGCAAGCAGACGTGCCCGTGGACAACCAAAAGCATGAACTCCTGATTTGCCAGGGTGGGGTTTTTCGGGGAGCACAATTGCACTGGTCGGTAGTCGAGAAAGAGGCCTATCCTGTGGTGCGAGCATGTGTCTCGCTCGACTACATTCTCGAACGGGAAGATGGTTTTAAAGCATTCTGTGACCATTCTAATTTGATCCAAATATTCTCGCCTGCAGAGAGCGTGAAAAAACACACAAAAGGGAAACTTCTACGGTGGGCGCTGCGCATTTCCTGTCTAAGGTACACCATCGAGCATATTGACGGGGAGCGAAATTTGTTGGCAGACATCGTGTCTAGATGGACACCCACCCACAAGTCGCTGGATAACCCAGAGGTGCAGGTGAAAGTCGCTCGAGTCGACAGTCAAGTTACGCTATCGAGACTGAGGCCGATGCAAGACGACAAGTTTTCATGGCCGACGGCAGACACCGTGAAACAAGCACAAGAAGCAGCAGGTACGCCTGGAGCCGGTCACAACCAGGACGAAGACGGACTCTGGAAGCAGAATGGAAAACTTTGGCTACCGACGTCTGGTGATTTAATTTTTCGGGTGATGATAATATCTCACTGTGGAATCAGAGCTCACAGAGGTGCGGAGGCTATGCTTCAGATTCTCCGAGATGAATTCGTATTCGACAATATGCGTGAGCTAGTCGAGCGGTTCGTTGCAGACTGCCTCCTGTGCAAGCATATTAAAGGCGGTAAGCTAGTTCACCGTCCGTGGAACATGACTCACACAGCAACGAAGCGCAACGAGTTACTGCACATGGATTTCCTTTTCATGGGGGAGAGCTACGGAGACTTTCAATATGTCCTAGTGCTAAAAGATGACATCTCTCACTACTGTGAGCTGATCGCATGTGAAAGTGCAAACGGTTTAGTGGCGGCGAGTGCCGTCTTAGACTGGTATAAAAGATTTGGACTGCCGGAGATGTGGGTCTCGGACAATGGATCCCATTTCCGAAACACGCTAATGACAGATTTGAAAGGGAGACTGGGAGT